TAAATTAATAGTGTTCTCTATTGAAGTCCTGCAGCATCTTCATTTATTTATGTAAGTTGATTTACTATACAGTTATTTAATAATACTTATCTCAAAATGAATGTGCAAACACGACTACATTCAATTTTAAGGCATTTGTCTCTCAAAAGTTTTGAAAATATTGATTAGTATCTCTTGCGGTCATATTATACGTTATAAATAAATGAATTATAGTACAAAATGGAAATTTTGTTCTTATCCTTAAACTGTTTAAATATTTTATAAAATAATAATATTCATATTGCACTCTAGACTAGTTGAAAAATATTTTCAAGTGTCTACTCTTATTTAAAAGTACACGATTTTATAGCTTTTGTTGATAGAATTAAACATTCAATATAATAGTCAACTTAAGTAGTGTACAGGTTAGGAGTTTTTTTAGTTATTACTGTCTACTTTCGATAAGAATTTTCGTTTTACTTATCAGTGAAATGAACAATACAATAATCATCTGATAAGATTAAAGCTAGTGAAAGCTTACAATTGAGATATAGAATGTAATTATGAAGTTTTTCAAAGTTAAAGATAATTTGAAAACTCTGAGAATTTGATTATTTTTTTATACAAAAGAAAAAGGTTTTTCATGACAAATAAATTTAATTCTGTATTTTTTTTTCCATTTTCCAGTAAATATAGTACGAAAAAATATTCTAAGAATACTGATTTTGGCTTTTATATTTATTTCGGTCATAAAAGTGATAGTGTTACGCAGGATTTAATATCCTACATGGTACAAGTTTGAGTAAAAGTAAGATAAACGGTGTTTCAAATAAAAGTAGTCAACCTGACTCATGATATTTGAAAACAAGTACCAGTGCCCCTTAATTTGTCGAATATTATCAAGGGCATGTCATAAAATTGATTATACTTTGTAGTAGCTTTTCTTGTCATTTTAAATGTTGAAAAACGATCTATGACTAATAAAACATATCTTAGAATCAATAATTTTTAAAGTCTGCTTAATTTGATCCTCAACTCGGTCTTCTCGTAGAATATAATGGACAATAGATACTTTATTTCTAATATCATACAAAATTTCCTTACTTTGTTCATCAATTGGCATGACTAAATGGTTATTCTTTGATTCTAACAGATTGAAATTGATTAATTGGTTAGCTTTTAGTTACTTTCAAGACCAGACTAGTGCCATTATAGCAAGAATAAAAGATACTAAATGGAGCTGTTGATAGATCAATATTTTCGTATAATTCTTTCAAAAAGATAATAACTGCATATATTGTTCTTATTTAATTTAGTTATATTATTTATTAATATAGTCGTCATAATAATATTGAATTAAATCTTTTTTAGACACTCAAAGCTACTGAGAATAAATTATTTCATCTATAAATCATGGGATCCAAAAATGAAATGCAGGTTCTAATTTCCGAGGCGTGTGTTTCATGGACGATAGAAAATTTTATTCTGAATGCATGTAGCCCATCAGGACGATGTGTGCCACTTAGATCACAGGTAAATCAAGTTATGGAATATTTATTATTTAATAATAACTATATTGACGCAGCATAGTACCTTCAAAAAAAAAAAAAAAAAAGGTATAGAGGACACTGAATATAAAAATGATTTGAGATGGATATGCTTAGTTTCATTAGCTCTGCCATAGAACTTTGTGCTGTTAAAATATTCTATTAAAGTAGATTAGATATATAAAAAATACAAAATTGAGCAAAAATTGTTATTCTGCTTTGTTTGCTATAATATAATTTACGAAAAGTAATGTCAATGCATAGATAGAATTTGGAAGAGCATAATCGCAAATATTAATTTTTTTCATATTAAATCGAGTCATTCGTAACCTTGATATAATTTATATTTTTTTTCCATACCAAAGCTTAGGTGAAGATTTTTTTAACGCTTTTAATTACTTTTAAAAAAAACTATTGTTACTACCATTTCAAGAAAAGTTACAATAAAATAAAGTAAACAGTTAATTGATGTATTATTTTACTTTTCAAAAATACATTTATTTTTAAGATAAAAATAAGGTGGATCAAACATGATTTTCTAGATCATATGACTATTTTTTAAACCTGGCTTACATCCTACGCAAAAAATATCGTTTATAATTTTGGTTTTCTCTAGCACACGACTTTTTTCATACTTCAACATACACTTATGTTGTTAATTAATTATTTTATTTATACTTATAACTTATTACATGGGATTTGAATACTTAGCTTAGGTTCAAATCGTTATAAAAATAAAAATAAAGTATTTTATGTTACCAAAACAAATAAGTGATATATTTATCATGTAGGAAGCTGTTTTTTAAATTTAAATAAAGGTTTATGCATATTTTTTGTTTCAGGTATTTTCAGTAGCAGCTAAAGATTGTCCCAAGTGGTACCTCAAGCTGTACCCTTTTGATTATCACAACAAAATAAAAGATACCACTACTATTTTTCTAATACAAATGAGCAACGAAAGAAATCACGAAGAACCGTTTGTAAAAATCAATTTTTATAATAATGAAGGAGAATGTTTGAAAGAAACTCCCTTTAGTTCATGTCTTGAAAGAAGTGTAAGGCGTGATGAACTAGCCCGTCTGAATAATGGCAGCCTCATCATTAAATGTTGGATACGATGGGATGCAGATAGAAACGCGTTCAAAGAAGCAAGTGACAATAATAAAATCAACATTTCAAGCAAACTTTTGGAAAGTTACAACCTGCTGGGGAAAGAAGATACTTTCAGCGACGTTAAACTCGTGGCGAACGATGGTACTGAGTTCCCAGTTCATCGGTGCATATTAGCGCTACGCAGTCCTGTGTTCACGGCCATGTTTAGATATAATATGAGGGAAAATCAAGAGTCTGTAGTTAAAATCGAAGACTTTGATGGTAAAACTTTGAAAGCTGTGCTGCAATTCATCTATTCGAATGAGATTGAAGAAGCCGACTGTGACATTGTCGAAGTATTTGTGGCTGCTGATAAATATGCCCTTGATTTTCTAAGAGAATTATGCGAAGCACAGCTTTGCACAAACTTGACAGTTGAAAATGCAGCAACTCATCTGTCACTGGCTGATCTATACAGTTCTTCAACTCTGATGTCACAATCACTTAATTTCATAAAAGAACACATAAGAGATGTTATGAAAACTGAATCATTCAAGAATCTAAAGAAAACACAACCACATCTTTTGGAAAAAATATTGTTGACTGTGTTTAAAGAAGAAATTTAAAATATTATATTTCTACTATCACATTTTTTGAAATTGCACGATATACTATTTACTAAAATGACTGGAAAGTTTTAAGGTTCATTGAATTCTCAAGAAATTCATGAAACTTTAAAATGTTATTAACAGAAAAGTAAAGTTAAGTACTAATTATTTTATTAACCTTTGTAAAAATTATATGCATTGTCAACTTAAATTTTGTTACATCACTTCAAAAGTAATAATCGTACAAACAAATATAGAATTATTAATTTAATACATCTACAATATTTACCAAGAATCACTTAATTAAGAAATTAAGAAATTGTACTAAAAGTTATCCATCAACAGACGTAACCGCTTTCAAAAGGATAATGAATTCATGTTTAAGTATATATACATCATGATTTTTTTAAAACATATGTAAGTGTAATTATAATAAATTCTCTGTTTTAATAGTAAAACTTTTCTTATTTGTCAATTTTTTTAACCACCTATTTTTTGAGTTTCAAAAACAGTTGTCTTAAACAATATGTGCAAAACTTTTCACCGAAGCACTTCATCAGTATTCGAGATAAAGATATTGTTACGTGGGGGGTTGAAGACCGAGGGCACTTTCTAAAAAAAGAAAAACAAGTAGAATAGTACGATTACTACTTTTGCTCTTAGATTTCTCGCATTCTGTTATCACCTACTTACTTGCTTTTATTATTCATCATCTCCCTTACAGCACTATATTGGGCCTTAAAAGAGGGAGATTACCATCACACATATTTTTGTTTGTTTACATCCATACATATAAAATGTCACTTTACTACAGAAGTCATATTGTTGTCTCTCCCATCTATAATTTTACATGGATCTGAAGCGATTTATCAAAGGTAATTAAAGTCACTTGTCATGTTAGTATGCTTTAAACTAAATCATAGAAAATTTGGTCACTTATTTGACAGTAAATCTTGTTTTAGTACAGTGAGACAGTTGAAGTCTCTAATTCAAATAAAGATGCGCAATACTGTTGAAATAGTTACTGGCTAGTCCGAAAAGTTTGAGGATTAATGATTGTACTTGGGTCATAAACAGCATCTTAATTTTTACTGACTCAGCAAAAACTATATATTACAACCATAAATCAGTAAATATTCGCTTATTTTAATTCAGATTGTATAGTGTAGATGTCTTTACATTCAGTACAAAGCTTTCTTAAGGACTAAAAAATAGTTTTTAGGGTAACGTTTCTATATACAAGCACATACATTCACTTATAGTGGGCTCTCTAAAAATAAATCACTAAAAATTCGGTCAAAGATTCTTCAATAAATTCAGTTTTGACGTATTACAAATATTGCAATAATCACAGTAAATCTTCTCTTTTTATCTTACTAATATTTAACACCTTAGGCAGAAGTAAATAATTTATAGATAATTTAACTTGTTTATAGTAAAAATCATTAAAATTTTTCTCAACCTTTATAAATAGTGTAATTTACTGCTAAATTAGAGTGTTCGTATCATGCACGTATCATGCATGTATCATTTTATTTGCATCATAAAATATCTATGCGTGTGTTTCCTTCATTTGGGCATTTAAAATACTTACACAAGCTTATTCGTTATCGGATATATTCGTGCAATGTATATGAACTGTCCAGAGTAAATAGATATCCAAAAAAAGTGTAAGTACTTTTAATATAAGATAGTTGATGTTTTGTCAATCATTATAAATAATCTGATAGTTAAAAGACAGAAAAACGTGAGTTAACATTAAATGGTATCAAAATGACATTTTCATTAGGACTGTATTTCAAACTATTCATTAATGTTGTTTGAAAAAATATACAAATGACTCAATAACTTTGTATTTGTTATTAAATCTTGGTATTAGATTTTACAATTCAAGTAAATTAACATCATGTAAAAAACCAATAACGGCAGTAATGTCCACAAGACTGATAAATGTTTATGTATAGTTTTACGACACATAAGACTTAGAGGTGAATTTCGTAAAACAAAGAGGGGTAAAATAGATTATTCGCGTTCAGTTTGTCTTCTTTCGTTCCTCCAGTTTGAGCCAAAACCCATCTTTGGCCGTCAAATTAAAATTCGACAAGCCAAAAATAATGGGGTCCCGCGACTTCTCGGTGAACTTGATGACGAACTTTCTCACTAAATCAATGATCACGATTTTCGCTTCCATCAAAGCGAAACGGTTGCCTATACACTGTCTTAGCCCAATGCCAAAAGGCATGTAGGTGTACGGCTCGATCTTGCTCCTATTCTCGTCACTGAATCGTTCGGGATCGAATTTATCGGGCTTGGGAAAGTATTTCGGATCTCGATGCAGTCCGAAAATCGGTAGCAACAGCACCATCCCTCTCTCTACGCTACACTCTGGGTATCCCTCCATCGGCGGTGGGAGTACGTGATCTTTAGTGCAGACTCTATTGGTGAACGGAGCTACCGGATACTTCCTCAGCGTCTCGCTGGCTACCATGTCCAGATATTTCATTTTCGACAAGGAGTCGTAGGTGACTTTTCCACCGTCCTCCCTCGTTTGCTCTTCGATTTCTTCGTACAGTCTTTCCTGGATATGGAGATTGGCTGCCAGCTCATGAGCTATAAAACACATTAGGCTGGAGGAGGTGTCGAAGCCAGCCAGAAAGAAGAAGAAAGCTTGGCCTACGATGTCGTCGAGCGTCACCTCGATCCCGTCCCTCCTTTCCATGGCTAGCATCAAAAGGTGGATCATGTCCTGTCTGACGATGCCTTGTTCTTTTCTTATCTTTACCGTTCCTTTGATGATGTTTTTGAAAAATTCATCAGTCCTGCGGGGGAAAAACGTGGCACCGAGCAGGCGCATGAGTCTCGGGAACAATGTCAAGAGTTCGAACTTGATGGTGCTCAAAAATGTAAAAGAGAGGGCTGTCTTGCCGTGAGAGTAGAATTCGTTTTCTTTGTCGTTCATCGAATTGAATTTCACCCCATAAGCCGCGCTCGCAATAACGTCACTCGTATACCTGGAGAACGCGTCCTTCGCCTCGAAGCATTTAGCTACCTAAAACAGACGTTAGGTTGTTTACCAGCAGATAACTTCATTGATTTTTGTACATCAAGATATTCAACGGGAAAAAATTGACATTTTTGCGAGGCATGAGGATAATAATTTTTAGAAATCACTATTCTTGCGAATTTTTAAAATTTTCGAAGAAGTAAGAAACAGTAACTGGGAAAATTTTATACATATTTAACAACATTTTCCCACAATAACTTTGCAAAGCTTTGATATTTAATTTTTTTTTTTTTAACATTAAAAATTAATTTTACGGTCCAATTTTCATAGTGTTTCATAATTATAGAGTTTCACATAATATATAGATATAATATGAGGGAAAATCAAGAGTCTGTAGATAAAATTTAAGGTTATCCATGCAAATAATGTCGCTAATGCAAATTTATGATGTGGAACATCATACTCGCGAAATTACAGATATTAATCAAGACCTTCGGATTGGTAAAGGGTTAAAATGAAATTAAACTGGGAATAGAAACTCGTACACTCGTAGTTAGTTCGTAGTGAAATAATGTAATACCATAACGGATTTAGTGGGAAGAGAAAGAATATTCATTGAAACCTTGATACAGAGGTGTTCGTTACGCAATATTTCATACATTTGTATCAAATGAAAAAAAACTACAAAGGCATATTGTTTCATTATCATGAAACGGATAAAATACTGTACGAATACTAAATGAATGCATAAAGACGTTCTACAGAAAGTATTTGGATAAAAGACCTCCACCAGCTTGTAACAACTTTAAACAAAAATAAGTTTTGCATTCAAAGATCCCGTTAAATAATCACAAAGTCTATGATCATGACACAATACCCACACAAGGCTTCTCCACAAATCATTCCAAACATTATTGTTTTTTAATTTTGGTACGTTTACTAAAGTTCCTGTATTTTATACTGAAAGCATGTCCAGAAACGTCCGATTTTTTTCAATGTACTTCTACATAGCCAAATTCAAATTACACACATAATTCCATGTCAACAAGTGCTGTCAGCGTTTAATCTACTTCCTATGTATAGCTCAAGATTTTTACTTCGTATTCATTCAACCACACACACGCGCGTGTAGAGAGCGGTTAACAGCACATAAGAATGTCTAAGGTTGATAACACCAATAATAAGAGATAATTTCAAAACTGCTACATGTGTAACAATATACACGTACATTTAACATCAAATTTTTAAACGAGTGGAATGGCATAGTTATTAGGCTTTCAGCTTACAACTTCAGTTAAGTTACGTAGAATATTGTTAACGCAGTTGTATCAATGCTATAAGAATGTATTTAACTAGTGTAGCAAATGAGATAGTTGAGTTTTGAAATTTCTACACTTGGGAATGTTCATCCATTACCATAGACTATTTGTTGAGATTCACTCACTCGACTGATTCAGCTCAGCATTTCAGGACATTATTTTTGAAGAGACGTAGTCATTGGCAGCCATTGAGATTGAACGAAACTGTTAATTTTAGTTTTTCATGTTAGTAGTTTGTATTTATTAATGCACCATGAATTAAATCAATATTAGTGAACAAAAATGGTTGTTTTCGTACCACGGGTGCAAAGTAAAAAAATCTCGCTCTAAGGGTGGGATTTTTGTATGTTTGTGCTCAAGGTCCGAACGTCGTTTTTCTTCCCTAAGGCGCAAGGTCATACTTTAGGCCCATGGACTTACCCACCCATGAGCGCAAAGTGACTTAAGGGCGCAAGACCTTGCACCCATGGTAAAAAAATAAATATACATATTCGTAGACATGATCGTGCTCTAGGTAAAAACATTAGATTAATAAAAAATCCTTTGAACCTAGTCGTATGATTTACAATAACATCCCGACATTTACTTAAGTATGTATATGTAAGATAAATAAATAGAGCACTTTACTTATTGAAGCTGTAATACATTATGGCATATACTTATTAAAGAGTGCCTCAATCCACTATGCACGGTATACTCAATATTAATACTAACAATTTTCGTAGCAAATGGCGACTTATTCGTATGTATTCCCTTACAACTACGAAATATAAATTCAAAAATACTACAGAATTATTTTTTATACTTATAGATTTGAAATTTGGTTCTACTTATTAGTAGCTTGATAACTTGGCTAATGATCTGACAGTTTGAGACTAGTATTGTAGCTTGTATGTAAAAACATTTAGGATTTGAGAGCGTTTTAAACCAAACATAAAAGTTTTTTTACAAGAGATGTATTGCGCTTAAAATTGATTTTTTTATACAAAAGTTTTATTTATATAGAAAGCTTGTGTTGTGTCGAGGCCTGGAGCTTTAGCCTCCCTTATCTCACCTTTTATCCGGCTCTGTGAGTATAGCAGTTCTTCACATAAAAGAATCCTCTAAAATTAACTGGATACACTGTACCTGTTACAGCAAAGATAACGCATGTATAAATAGGTTAATACGTCAGACAATAATATTCATGTCAATTTTCCAGTAGATATGTTAAATAGTATCTGTGAAGAGTTACCACTTCATGAACTGAGTTAAAAATTAAGTACAATATAAATGCTAAATAGAAATTTTACTATATCACACGATTTATACAATGGTTCTTGATTAGGAGTTATTAAATTATTGAAGTACAACGTGGAAGGGGAAATAATAACTGGTAAAAAAATTGGATAAAAAGTTTTTATCTCAAGATTGATTTTAAACACTGAAAACACCTTTTCACTACCTTTTGTTTTATATCGTAAACCATTCTTAATGGTTGCGGCATTTTTTATGAATATCAATAAATCTTTAGGTCAAAGTTGATAATGTTGGTTTATACTTAAGAAAAAAAGTATTGTCTTACGGTCATCATACGTAGCTTCATAATGATGNTTAGCAATAGATATTACTCTTTACTCTTTAATAAAATATACCACAACATAATATGTAGTTAATATCGATTTAAAAAAATAATAATTTTTATCACAACATAAACCACGTTCGAATCTTATTAATAATAAATTAATATCAAGATGAATACATAGTAAGAACTATCAGCACTAATTATTTTTCTTTCTTTCCTCCATCTTCAGCCAAATTCCATCTGCTGCAGTCAAACTGAAACTCCTCTTTGAATACTCTACTGGATACTGCGTTTTCTCCGAAAACTTGAGAACAAACTTCTGTAAAAGATGGACAATGACGATTTTTATTTCCATCAGAGCAAATCGATTTCCTATACACTGCCGAGGTCCTATGCCAAACGGTAAATATGTGTAAGGTTGGATTGTACTTTTGTTAGTCTCACTAAATCGGTCAGGATCAAATTTTTCTGGATTAGGATAGTATTGAGGGTTGTGATGGATTGCATAAATGGGAATCATCACGACCGTGTCTTTTTCCACTCGAAGCTCAGGATACCCCTCCATTGGGGGAGGAAGGGTGCAATCCTTGGTGCACCGTCTATTGGTCATGCTCGCTAGAGGGTATTTCCTCAACGCTTCAGTAACAACCATGTCCAAGTATTTTAACTCCGTCAATGATTCGTAGGTGATCTTTCCATCGTTTCCAAACTGCTTGTCTATTTCATGGTACAACTTGTCTTGAATATCACGATTAGCTGCCAACTCAAGAGCTAAGAAACTCATCAAATTGGACGTTGTTTCGAAGCCAGCTATGAAGAATATCAAAGAATGGCCCACGACATTGTCCATAGTTATGTCAAAGTCGCTAGTTTTATTGTCCATTGCTTTGATCAGCAGTTGAAGCATGTCAAGACGAATGATACCATTTTCTTTTCTCGTTCTGATTGTTTCCTCGATCAATCTCTTGAAGAAACGATTGGTGGCCTTTGGAAAAAACGTAGTACCAAATAGTCTCATGATTCTTGGAAAGTTCAGCAGTAATACTATTTTCAGTATCCACAAGGGCTTGCCAACCGACGTGGCGGACTGGCCATAAGCGTAAAACTCATTGTTCCGATCTTTCAGTGAATTTACCTTGACCCCGAAAGCTGATGTGGCTATCACGTCGTTGGCGTATCTTGTAAATATGTCCCTGGCTTGAAAGTCCTTTGCTGCCTGCAATCGAAAAAATAGTCTGTCATATTCCACGGACCAACCATAAAGGGCTTTAAAATCTTACCTGTGGGTTCTCAACAAAGTATCGAACAAAGTCGTGAGAGCATTCGCTCATCAGGTCAAACAAAAGCTTCATCCTGGGCGCTGTGTAGCTGGGGCTCAAGGTTCTCCTCGAGTTTTTCCACTTCTGACCACACAGCGAGAATAAATTGCAACCGGCAATCGGGTCCATTTCTTCGGTGACAAAGGGTTCATGGTCCATGAAATTATCAAAGTTTTTGATACAAATGTCGCGAATCAGCTCGAGATCTTTGACAACGATTGCTGGCTTGCGGAAATCAAACATGCCGTAGTATCGGGCTTTCGGGTGTCGTTTGTAAAGGTTCAGCGAGTGCGTGACGAATGACGATAGTCCAAAGAATATCGGATAATTGTGGCCCAGAACAGGTACCAGCTCCAGATGCAATGTTTTGCGCTTTTTCCAATATGTGTACTGATTGTATACTGTGCAGGCTGCACATAACAGTAGTGCCCCCATTATCCCCAATGGTATAAGCAGCAGAGGCGTCATTTTGGGCCAACAATTGTTTTCCGCTCTACTTGTAATTACTCAAGTACTACTTGGCTCTGGAATGGGATTGAGTTAATTCACTGTAGTAAAAATTTCAATGTTACTTTTCTTAATGTATATCTTTATCATTTATCACGTTTTTACCACATACAACCATTGATATGTACCTCGTAACATCTTAAAGTAGAAAACTGAAAAATATAAGTTTTTTCATTGATTGTATCTTTTATTTGACCATTTGCACTGTATTATCTTTTTTTAAGTCTTAGGTACTATAAAGTATACAATAAACATATAAATAGTTTGAAAAATTGGTATTATTTTACCTTAAGAAGGGTATTAGAAACTTAAATTATTGAAATAAGTAACACAATACTCCCTAAATTTTCAACATTTCTCAAAACTGTATACCATTTCCTACAACAAAGAAAGCTCATCGGCAAACAGAATAGCTATCCTTGTCTCGTTTCAACATTGTCATTTTAAATCTGTATGGTAATCTTTCGAAACCATCAAATGCCTATTGATAAACTAAAGTTCATTCAGATATATGTATAAGTAATAATTAGATGTAATAAACATTGTTTGAATGAACTTTTACGTATTTCACAATTGTTCGACAAGTAAAGAAACAAAAGCATCAATCGAGCAACATATCTCATAGATTATTTAGCCACAAATACGCTGACGCATCAATTGACACGCTAAAAACAATAAATCATTGATAATTAAAATTGTTTCCGCTCGTACAATCGTATCAAGTAAAGACTCAACGTAACAAAATTACACACCCACGCGCGCGTACCCCAAACAACGGCTTAAAACTGCATGTAGATATACAACTGACTCGTGCCAGGGTAATCATCTCACTCACGAGTTACATATACAATCACTCACTCGAGCTCTCCGGAAACGTGGCAGCATACAACTTTAATTTCGATAAAAGCTTTCGAGAACATCTGAAACGTGTTTTTCCCTCCTCAAATACTCTTATATTTCCCACACTTGCGCTCCATTGTATCATTTACACTCTATTTTAAAGAACAATAATCTTGGTATAACTGTATGAGCCACAACAATAAAAAACAAACATCCACGTACTTGCCCGTACGCGATGAGTCATACACAATACAATCTCGGGTGGGATCGAAGAAAAAAAACATCACCACGTCAAGGGCGATCGAAATTTTTTGCCACACATTACGCAAGTTTGCGTCAAGAAATCAGCGCAGATATCGAGCAAAGTATTGAGCGTTTAATTCACGGACGCGTTTATTATATATAGACGCTACAGCGCAGTGGTCAACTGCGTTACTGTGTGAACAGTGTGAAAATGTGTGCTCGTAGAAGGAGGAGCGATTGTTGCGCTGCGACGGTCAGTTGATGTTAGCAGCGATCAATTTACTCGCTTGGTAAATAAGGGGAGCAAAGTGGAGGATAGAGAGGTGGAATGGGTTTGCAGGGGGAGTTGGTGTTTGCCATATCTCGTGAAATGTAAAAAATTTGTAAATTTTTATTGAAAAAGTAAGACCATAAATTAAAAAAAATTTTAATTTCATTCATTTGAATAATTAATTTTAATAACTATTAAACTTTGAGTCATAAAGACAGCAGCACAAGAGGCGCTGTGAGGCAGAGTGGTTATTTCAAGTGGGCTAGAGTATGTTTTTTCCCGTAAATTGGGTCACACGGGATAACGTGGCAAATCAGTCTCAAGGATTGTCAATACATTTGACTAACGAGACTTTTAATTAAAATTTTTTAATACGTATGTTATCGCAGACACAAAATTAATATACTACATAATAATATCTAGGTAATGAGTCAACATGAAATGTGATTGGAAAACCAGCCGTACAAAAAATGTTTGATACTCGTAATGAGCCAAATGTTCCTACATCACTGTAAAAAAAAGAAATTATTTATGCCCAAAGATTTATACTATCATTGGTGATTAAAAAGTCAAGTCATTCAAAGAAAAGATAATATACTGAGCAACAGTTTTCTCGTTTGTTAAACGTATAACTGTACGTGTATTTCGTAGATGAAACATGAATTTTTTCAAATTATATTTAGCTTACATTTGTCATCGTTTTGCGTTGTTTCTTTTATACGATTAAACACAGTTTTTTTTCTGCTCAGGTGTGATCCAATAAAAGTAGAACATAGTTTTCCAACTTTAAGATAACTTTATGAGAATGTCAAAATAAATTTCACCAACTCAAAAATAAATTAAATAAGCTTTAAGTTTTTCAGTATTGTTTGAATTTCACTAAAAAACAAGCCAACTCCGCTTCGAAAAATTCACCTTTTAAGCACAGTATTGTATGAAAAAGCTCTAAATTTCCTCGTAAAAAGCCTCATTCAGAGTCCAGATTGTGTCAAAGTGACTCATCAAAACAAAAAAGAGCCAATCATTCTGGATGTAATCAATTAAGTGCAAAGCGACTGCAGAGGATACAGTTTCGCAAAAACGACCACGCCTGGGTCACCGAAATAAAAAGCTCAACCCACATCGAAGACGTGACAACACGTCCCTTTCGAATAATCAAGTACAAGCACGGCATCACTTTCTGTTTTCCAGCTTCGAAACTCGCCCGGGATCTTCAAAATCCAAGTTTCCCCTGAGTCCCATCCCAGTAAAAGGTCACTCGTATGTAAATGCCAACTCAAAGCACGATTGAAAAAAAAAAGTATTCTTCCGTTTATTTTCATCGGCATCGCATGTTCTGGAATTCCCACGTGGTGACACTCTTTTCCTCTCGGCCCTTATCTCTTTTTGACGCATCGGTGGTTTTCATCAACTTTGCGTGGGTAGGTACATAAATGTTCGTGAGCAAACTCAAGCTTACGGGGGAGTAAACAGGTTGTAGCAACTAGTTTTTTCTTTCCCCTCTATATTGGTAGTAGCGGATAGGAACTCGTATATTGTTGTTGCTCTTTGCGTATCTCTGCTCAACGTCTGTTTGGAGTACAGCCGGAGAAACTCGCGGTATTTTCACACAGAAGTAACTTTAAGGCGCAAAAAAACTCTTTTTTGCTTTGCCGCGTATAGTTGTTACGGAATTTTCAGCATATGAGCGGAGTTTGGGTTGTGTTCCATTTTTAAAATTCTTTTTTCAGTGACTGGTGGCACGATTTCGAGATTTTGACCGGATAGAGATGTATATTTTAATCATATGCCGTGAAAATGTACAGAAAAAGCTGTAATCTCTGTATGAGAATTCTTTCTGTGAAACTCACTCTGTAAAGCACTTTTAAAACACTCACTCTGGAGACTAACATTTGAAGCACATTTAAGATAATCGGTCAGGTATCTTTTACATTTTTCATTGATAATTAACCATTTTAAGTTATAAAAAAATTGACTTTTGAAGAAAGATTTCATACGGAGGGACAATATAGAACATGACCAATCTTTTAAATGGTATATATTAAGGCTCAAACTTAACATGATATTGAAAGAAAGCTATATCATCTAAGAAAAACATTTTATAAGTATACAAATCTCTTAAAAAATATTATCATGTTGGTCACACCGTGGCAAGTGGTAGTAAACCAAGGAAAACAAACATTTCTAACATTCAAGCTCGAAAACATGTGGTCTGTTTAAATCTTTATGTCGTCTAAGGCGGGCGATCCACTATTTAGACTGATACGTCAAATTTACCACGTGTTTTATTTGTGATGATTCTGTGAAAAAGATTTTTTTATTAATTTTTCTTTGTAGCGGGAGACAAAAAAAGCCTTTCCACGAAAAATGTAAGTTCACACAAGGTACTTTTAAGTCACATGAATAAATTTCGAGCAAATTAAATTATTTAACATTCGAAAGATAAAAATTTAACGCACAAACAAGACGATGATTACTATTTGGCGTTCCCTATAACGCTAAAGTGAGTTTAGCATCTAACGACGAAGGTACTCATGGGAGAACTATTTGCCCAATGCCAGAAACTTCATTTCTCGGATTGCTATTTTTTCAAGTGGACTGTAGTGCTTGGGACGGCTAGCTGAAAATATTTGTCTCGCGAAATATTCAGTCGAACCACTACACGTTTGTCGAGATGCGTTTTAACGGGTCGATCGAGCGGACGTTTTTTGTTTGTCAAAGGAAGGGAATAAATAAAGGGACAGTCGATGAAGCGAAGTTTCTCGACGAATCAATGCATCGGGCCATCGCAGATTTATCGGGAAAACGCGGGGAAATGGATTGTTGAGGTTGGTCGGTCTTTTCTTTTCACCCTTGCACGCGCATCGTGATTATTTCAATTTACGTTTTGACACGCGTTGTGTGGAAAAAATGTAGATTGATTACCCGCACGTCGTCCTTTTTAAAAGGCTCGTTCGGCCGAAAACGACGGGAATTGATGGATCGATCGACCGCGGGGACGCTTCGACGGGCAAATTAATTTAATTTCATGTGTATATACCCGGAAATGTAACGAGGCGCTTTTCATCGATTTTATTCGGATAATGTACGTAACGTTGAATTAATTCCGTTCATTAGAATAACTACGTTGCCTTGGTGCTATTGACATCATTTTCGTGTGAATTACGTATGATGGAATCGGTTTCCCGAGTGGGTCAAATAATCAATTTTTACCTTTCGACGATACAAAATGAAATACCGAAAAAGGCAAACTTTTACTTACTTGGACTGCTTTTACGGACTGATACTAAAATATCAATTTCAAGACAAAAGGGTGGATCTTTTTGAAAATGGTCCGCTATCCGAAAGCTATCCGTCAACCGGAGAAAATATCTCCTGCGTCCCATCTCCCAGATCCCCTTTGACGATATGAAATTTTTCATAGCCAAGACCGGATTTTCCCTAATACGGTCGATTCGCTAAGGATGAAAGAGATGCGGTTATCGCGGGGATTTGTACATTTCTTCAATTTCTTGGCACGTGGCTCGACGAATTCTAAAGAATGATATACCCTCACTGCGAATTAATCGTCGCAAAAAGTTTTAAAGGCGGGTTCGCTCCGTTGGCAGCTTTGAAAGGGTCATCAATACTGCTTCGATTATTCTTTAGAGGGGATTTAACGTATTTTTAGCCATTTATTTCAATTTTTTGTTTCAATTTTATTTTTGCATCGTTATTAGGTGAAGTTAGTGCACACGACGTTTGATACTTTATTTTATTTTTCTGAATCTTCGTAGATGACCTTATTTTATTACTACTGGCGAATTCTTGTAACTTGCAATAAAAAGTTTTTATCTTGAACTATTTTAAAACCCGTATTTTTGTGAGTGAATTCCATTTCTTCTCTTCAGCAAATGATATCTATATTCATATGCTTTTTGTTAAAAATAATCAAAGGATATTAATGCTAGTCGTAGCAAGAGACAATAATTGGTCATTTGATTTTTGAGACAAATTCAACCACTAATACCTTTAAAAAAATACAGCAACTAATAGACACAATGTGAAATAAACTCCAGAGCTTTATAATAAAATCAGAAAAAAGTCGGTTTTCACAATTGAAGTTGATTAAAAAATTCAGACTCGGCAGGAGATATCGCTGCACATTGCTTACAATGTTATTTTTCACAATTTTTTCAGTCCGCACTATCTGAAATTTCTGGACGCAAAAATATCATTGGTATTCTCATAAGATTCTTTTACAGTAAATATCTTTGTATGATCGTTTCTTTATTTCGTGCACGATTTCAAGAAACAGATAAGAACAAAAATTGGAAGGATAGGCCTGCGATACATTTGGGCTAAAGCCGTGAACGAGATATTCCTCCAAACTTTGGAGCATCACCACCACCTTCAGCATCATTGCTAGCAGGAAGAGATAAGACCGCAGCTATCCTACATCCTCTCCCTTTTTAATTTGAAATCTCTCTTCCGCCTCGCAAGCGATAGAGTTATACTTGCTCCCTCCCACGCATGAAAGGAATTTTTTTTTTTTTTTTTCATACTTACGACAGAAATTTCCTTGCGAATAACGCCGGTCCGAAAGAAGATGCAGCGGTAGCTCGAGATTTTTTCCCTGTAAAATGACAGCCGTGGGACGCGACCCGCAAAAAGGAGCGAGCTTCTTCTCTCAAGGTGGGTGGCTTCGGGAGGGCAACGGAAGAAAGTCATAGCCAAGCGTGTCGTCCCCAGGGATGTAGAGCGAAAAAAGTCGACTTTTCATTTTGCATGCCCTATATACCTTCCTTTCGATTTTTTTTTTTTTTTTCCTCTCTTTCTGTGGTCTTTTTTCGATGTGCGTTCTCTGATCGGCTTTTTTCCATCCATTCGCACTCGAGGAGAGGTGGAACAAAAGCGATAT